AATACTGCGCTCAACTAACAAATTTTTTAATCTGAGAATAAATTAATACGCAATTTCTTAATCGGAGAATATAAATATGATGTAAAATTATGCGATTTAGTGCGTTTTAGTTTAATCATACTAAATCACACAATTTCCGTGTCCCTGATTAGGATAGCCACCAAAAATTGCTCACAATTATTGTTCCGAATATTTAGCACAATGGTTGTTCCAAATATTTACTACAATGATTACTCTCTATCTAATGTTTATAATATGATGGGAGTAACTAACCATCGGGTTTGCTCTGTATCTCTACCCTTAATCCGTCACCTAGGAGCCTCGCAATATTTTTGTAGTTCGGGTCATTTAGGCTTTTAGTACTACCAAAACACATCAAGGTCACGGGTTTAAACTTTAACCCGTGGCAATACCTTAGACCAATAAGCATTTACTAAGTATTTAGCAAGTATTTTTAAATGCTTTGGCAAACTTTGTGATGTTATTATTATAGGAGCCATTTATTAATTCAATTAAGTTATTTATAAATATTTCATAAACCATGTTATAGTCTTTATAAATCACCGGGTGAATCCATGAACGATTTGTCTAAAGACAATAAGTAAATTTTTATTTCAAATATTTCAAATAAGTCTTTTTAAATATTTTAGATATACAAATGCTATTATTTAAAAAAAGTAACTACAATATTATGGCTATAAACTAATATTATATATTGGACATGTAATCTGCCGTCATCAATTTTGTCATAGTTTATATGTAAAAAAGAATTTTACGGAATTAATGAAACTATTAATATACAAAATGAAGTCTTGATTTTTTTTTTTTTTGTTCTCATAACACTGGACATTAGAGGTTACCATTAATTAATTTCAACTTGTACACATATTCAAGGGTATAATTCATTAATCTTCCGTGATTTTGATATAGTGAATGCCAGGATAATAAAAAAAAAGAAAAAGAAATTCATTAGGAAGTTCGACCCAGCTGAGTTATGAGAAACAAATGATAAAATAATTCATGTTTCTATGTGGTAGTTTAAATATTTTCTAATTAATTTCATATGGCCATTCCGAAACTACTATCATCATCTTCAACAGAATAAGAATCTTCATAAGTCTCTAACCGACTATGACAATGTTCGCATACCCATCTCCATCTTCCATTTTCCAATACAACACGTTGGAGACCACCCCACTCTTTTCCTTGATCATTCATTGCTAAAAAGGCCTCAAGTTCTCGTAATGCAGCACCTTGAACAACTTTCATTCGACCAACAGGATCCTTTCTTGTTCTTTCAATATCTCTTGTTTCTGCTGGATTTGTAATTTCCGAATCAAGCATTTTCGTTAGTTGCTTAAAATATTCAGTAGGTCGAGTTGAAACGCCAGAAAGCATGCCACTGATATCAGGTGAAGTATTCAAATGTAAAGCATGACAAAGCTAAAAAATTAAAAAAAAAATGGTGTGTTCAAAATTTTGGTTCAAAATAATAATAATAAAAATAATAAAATACCAACCCCTGTAGAGATAACTGTCGCCATTATAGAAAGATATGGACCAGCCTTTCTTAATAATGGTTTCGGATCATGAATTTCGTAACCCCTATGTCTTGTAAAATGTGCTTCTTGATTATTTGGATCTAGACCTTCACAAAGAAGGTGCAAGATAAACGTATTCTTTCCCCAAGTATGTGGTCGAAATATAGATTTAGCATCTTGACCTGGTAATAAAACATATAGACGTGGTGTTGCAGCATCCATTGTGTCAGTTATACTGTTTACTACTACATCAATTTGCCTGAGGATAAGGTTAGTTGTTTCTTGGAGTACTGAGAGAATTGTATTGGTATTTTGGTTTACTGCGGTAATAATACGGTCAGTTGAATCATTGTGTAGTGTATTCAACTGTATATATATATAACGATAATAAATGATAAATAATTAAATTATAGAAAATATATATCAATATCTATTAAGTTTTTTTTTCATCATATCAAGACTATTATTACCTGTCTAGTGTCCAAACCTGAATTTAAAAAGGCAGAACGAAGAATTTGTTCGCACGAGATTCTTTCAGATGGATTGACTGCCAACATTTTTAACAAGATATTTCTAGCTTGTTGATCAGGAATTTTATTTATTGGAAAATCTACTAATTCTCCTTTAGTAAAACTTTTGGTCAATTTATCAATGGCATCTTCTTCAGAGTAGAAAAGTGGTGTTTTTGTATATAGTTCAAAGATTATACAACCCAGTGACCATATATCCATTGAAGTTGAAGCAATTATAGGCTGCTTATTAAAAGCTGCATTGAATACTTCGGCTATAACAAATTAATAAATTACCAACGTGGTTATTAAACCGAATTTTACAAATATGAAAAAGAATAAATAAATTAATAAATACTTACGTGGACAATACATAGGTGAACAATCGTCAACATACTCTTCTCCTACAAATCTTGCCGCTTCAAAATCCACAAGACGCCTTTTAATTAATAGCAGAAAAGAATCAGATATTATATTGTTTATGAAATCATTCGTTAAAAGAAACCTACCATGCTGTATTATCAGCCTTTTCATGTACAAAATTACCGGGTTTAATATCCAAATGAGCAACATTATTATTATGAAGATAATGAATAGCTTGCGTGATAGATTTAACTAACAGTTTAATATACAGAGCATCCATTGAGGATAACTTGGTTATAATCAAATTATCCATACTTTGAGGATAATAATTTAAAATTATAACATAAGGCCAATCCTCTTTTGAAGGAAGTTCATATAATGCTAACAACTCTCCGACATGACGAGAGCGTAAGTATTTAAGCATGACGACTTCTCGTTCAAAAGATTCAAAATTCTGGAAAAATTTAATAGCAACTTGATCATCTGTTTGTACATCTATAGCTTGACGTATTGTATTATTTCCACCATAAGCAGAATTTCCACAAAGCCTATAACGTTGGAGAATGATGGTTCCAGTGGGAGCAGATGGCATTATGAAAGCAGCGTCAGGTTGATTATAAACCATAGCAGTAAGTTTGTGACGACTGAATATTTCATCCTTAAATCGAGAATTAGCAGTTGTATGTACACGTATAGTATGCTGAGTTCCTTTTAGTGTCGTTAATGTTGAATTTGATGAATTTGAATTTGTATAAAAACCAAATTTTGGCAAATCTTGATTTTTTTCAGGAGATAAATTAAACTGAGCTGGATGATATGCTTTTATATTGGATTTATAATCTAAATTAGGGTTCTGGTCAAGAGTATCTTCTTTTTCGAGTGAGTAAATATTGGAATTTTCATTTTGTCTCTTACGATATCTTCTAAAGAAGAAGAAAGCTACAATAGCTGCTATTATAAGGATCACGACTCCTCCTATGATAATGTATAACATTAGAGGAGGTGATGAAGAATTATTATTGCTGGCTGAATTATTATTGCTGGATGAATTATTAGAATTATTGTTTCCTGCTGAACCATTTGGCCTGGTGCTATTTCCTTGTGAAGATGAAGTAAGGGGTTTTAGGAATGGGTCATTCTGATTAGGAGCCAAGGGACCACCAATAAATTGATCCATCGGTGCATTTGTCAAATAATTGTAGTTAGTAACCCATGCTTTTTGAGTCATGTTGAAGACTAAAAAATCAGCGGTATTTCCAAGATAGGTATTTATATCACCAGCCGCACTACTGTTTTTTGTGCTTCCACCATAGCACTAAAACAATTAATAGAAGGTTTTAATAAAATAAAAATCAACTGAAATTAACGATTTTATTCGAAACATACGTACAACTAAAGCATCACTGCCATGAAGTTGCGCGCTAGCATAATAAGAATGGCCTACTGTGGCCATAGATCCGGAAGTGTAAGTATAATAAGAGTTGTTTGATAGCGTCTGTTAAAAAGAAAAAAACGATGAATTACTGTTATAATTATATACTACAGTATTTGTTTTATTTTATAATAATCTCGAAATAATTACCCAAACTCTCATTGCTGAGCTAGGACCAGTGGTATCACTGGAAACCATATAAAAAGTATCATTTAGATGTCCTATATGTCCATCAAACCATGCGCTAGGCATTGTTGCTTTCGGATCAAACCATTTACGTGTAGGAACATTGAAACCCCATACATCGGCGAACACACCGGTATTAAAATCCGAACTTCCTCCAACTATATACACATTATCCTTAGAATATGCTATACCGAATAATCCATTTGGCGGTGGAGTTGTCGAGTCTATTGGTATCGTTTCCCATGTCATATTGGAAATATGAAGTATATATGTATCGTTTGATGGTGAACCACCAAATTGGAACAGCACTTCTTCGCCAGCAGAAGTGGTAAATATAACGAGTCTATGACTATTGCGATATTGTAGGTATTTAACAGTGTCAAGACCTGTAGTTTGTGGTGTATACCTTTAAGCAATAGAGAAATAATTAGTATAATATCCTCAAGATACAGCAACATTTAACTTTAGCAAACACACATACCATGTACCACTCGCTCCTTTACTTAGATCAAAAGCCTGTATACCACTATAATTTGGATCAGAAGTTGATCCACCACCTGTCACTATTAATACACCAGCGGAAGTCACACCACAAGCAGGTCTTTCGCTCGCATTATGTGAACCAGTCGTAGGCATTGCGACCCAATTCAAGCTTTGAGTATTAAATGGTGCTTTTACATAACTAAACCAACTGTTCTTTGCATCATTTCCAGTCCCACCAAATACATATACTCTATCTTCATAAGCTACAAGACATGGCTCATCGCGAGGACCCGGTGCTGGATTTAATTGCTGCGCATTAGTTTGAATCGACAAAAAAATGGCCAAAAATAAAAATATATATAATAAAGAAATTTTTAGTTTGAAGAACAAATTGATTCTTATTCGCATAGGTGACTTCATGGCTTTTTAATATATGGAAAGAAAAATAAGGAATGATATGCGCAGCAAGCGAGCGAATACTACGCTATAATTTTTGTAGACAGAGAAAGTTTTATCAGAATTAATTAATTTTGTTCGAATCTTAAAGATAACTTGATGATCACGTTACAAATCTAAAATGGAAATCATCGAAATTGCTTGTACCATCAATATAAATGCACAAATGTGCACATATACAAATAAAGGTAAGAAATTTATAAAATTTTTGTTACAATTTACACATGCATATATGTGCATCTTTATTCATTATAGAAGACCAATCATTATCAAGAAATTAATTGAATGTTTTGTTTTTGTCCGAAAAATGAAACTTATACAAAACTGAATTGCCATGATTTTTATATTGTATTTAAATAAATATATAACCTTCGGAATTCTAGAAATGCACAAAACTTTAATAATAATTAACTAATAGTATAATTCTCCGAGATCTTTTATTTTGAATAAGCTTCCTTCATAAAATATATGAGCTAATCTTCTAATGCTACTTCTAATGCTACTTCTGATGCTGTATGAACTCTAATCCAGTAATCAAAATGTGAACGCAATTAACATAATTATTTTAATCACAAAAATAGACATGACTTGTTATTCGAAGTTACCTTGAAAGTCGAACAATAAAAATGCAAACTGTTCATTAATTGTTTTGCAGATTTACTATTTAGCATGTGCATTCTATATAACCTAATAATTAATTTCTGCAAACCTATTAAGATCAAAAAGTCGAAGACGTTAGATAACTCAATAGTTGCTATAATGTTATATATATATCGTCTTTCAGGATATCAGTTCAACCTGAAAAGTTTGAAGACCCTCAAATAAATGCAAATAATGAGTAAAGGCATAACATATCTGTGCTTTGCTATACTTAAACAATTTACTTAAAGAATCCTGTACAGTGCTGCATGGTGCATATGCATTGTTTATGTAGTTTATAATTATCTAATAATTCAATTACTGCAGGAAGATTACACAGTTAGCATTATTATAATTATAAATTTTGTATTTTTGCATAATTGTTTACGTAATAATGAATTTTTGAAAAGTTAACTTCTAAAAATTTTATAATTGATGTAAGTTTATAACCTTAACTATAACGTCAACCATAGCCGCAGCATTGATTACTCCGAAAGCACTCGAAAAGCTAGTGTAATAAGTTTTGAACTTTGTGTACAACACAGCAATGTGGTAAGGCTTCGAATTTTCAATAATGTATTTTTAAATCACTTTGTTAAATATAATATTTTTTGCGCAATAACGTTCATGAGCGTTACTTAGAATAATGGCCGAATTAAGTTTATTCGGACCAAAATTTGAAAGTACACCCCTGCGCACTATTTTGCGAAAACACTATATAAACTTCCTGTACAGGAAATTAGTATTGTATTTCAGGAATGAATCTTGGTAGATTTAGAATCAACATAAGCTGAATCCACTCTGATAGTTAAAGAATTTTGAACTAACCTAAAATTAATTTTGATCACATTTAGCGCATATTGATTTAAAATCCAAAGCGTTTAAATCCAATTTAATACCAATACTGTACATTGTGAGGGGTGATAACCCTAGTTATTTTTTTTTTTATCATTATTATTATTTTATTATTATTATTATTTTTTTTTCTTGTGTTTATTAGCTATTTTTTCGTATCATTTGTACTAAGGCTTCGAAGTTGCTTTTTTTGGGTGAAAGCTTAATTTAAATTGGCATAACCGGTTAGAACTAGTAACCGAACATCTTTACTTTAAATAGAATGTTCGTAGACATTTGAACATTAGAACATTTGCACATATGAACATTTGAACATTTGCACATTCGAACATTTGGACATTTGAACATTACACCGCCCTTAAAATGTTCCAATGTTCAAGACTTGGCGAGAAAAGCCATATTTAAAATTTGGAAACCCGCTGTACTTCTACAAGCGCGAAAGCTATAAAAGCGCTGATTTTTTTGACCTAATAAAAACAACTCAGTTGAGTTACAGCTTCGAAATAATTGTAGTAGAAGTTTGTTCCTTAAAAAAACTATTGTTCCCTTTGACCCAAAAACGTTCATAATAAAACATATCAATTCGATAAATACCTTTTTCCTGACCCGATATCTTGTTAAAAGATCACATTTTGCTTGTAAAATCTTAGTTGAGATAGAGTTGAACCTTCGAAATTCGAGTAGAAGTGTTCACTCTTAAGTTATCCACCGCTTTCTTAAAGTTACCTACCCATTAGAATCTTAGTTGCACTTACCCTTTTGACCTTAGCATAGGGATTAAATATCGCCAATAATAAAAACCCTAAGGCCAGAAAGAAAACCCGATTTCATTAGTTTATTATTCCCGTGATCCATTGTTAGCGCATTTATCGAATAATAATGACCGATCATCGAAATTACCCGTAATATACTTCAGGTGAGACCGTTCCAAATTAGGAAATTATCGGAATGATCGTTACACAATTCATAAAGGTTTTTTATACAGTTTACAATACTCTTCGTGAGGTCATCGTGGCTTATTTGCATTATGAAACGTGACTTTTTATTAATTAAACTTATGGCTTTCGTATCATACTTTAATAAAGTAGTGGGATTCAAGCGGATTCACCAGATGTTTGATAAATTGAATATAAACATCCAGTGAATCCGCTTGAATCCCACTACTTTATTAAAGTATGATACGAAAGCCATAAGTTTAATTAATAAAAAGTCACGTTTCATAATGCAAATAAGCCACGATGACCTCACGAAGAGTATTGTAAACTGTATAAAAAACCTTTATGAATTGTGTAACGATCATTCCGATAATTTCCTAATTTGGAACGGTCTCACCTGAAGTATATTACGGGTAATTTCGATGATCGGTCATTATTATTCGATAAATGCGCTAACAATGGATCACGGGAATAATAAACTAATGAAATCGGGTTTTCTTTCTGGCCTTAGGGTTTTTATTATTGGCGATATTTAATCCCTATGCTAAGGTCAAAAGGGTAAGTGCAACTAAGATTCTAATGGGTAGGTAACTTTAAGAAAGCGGTGGATAACTTAAGAGTGAACACTTCTACTCGAATTTCGAAGGTTCAACTCTATCTCAACTAAGATTTTACAAGCAAAATGTGATCTTTTAACAAGATATCGGGTCAGGAAAAAGGTATTTATCGAATTGATATGTTTTATTATGAACGTTTTTGGGTCAAAGGGAACAATAGTTTTTTTAAGGAACAAACTTCTACTACAATTATTTCGAAGCTGTAACTCAACTGAGTTGTTTTTATTAGGTCAAAAAAATCAGCGCTTTTATAGCTTTCGCGCTTGTAGAAGTACAGCGGGTTTCCAAATTTTAAATATGGCTTTTCTCGCCAAGTCTTGAACATTGGAACATTTTAAGGGCGGTGTAATGTTCAAATGTCCAAATGTTCGAATGTGCAAATGTTCAAATGTTCATATGTGCAAATGTTCTAATGTTCAAATGTCTACGAACATTCTATTTAAAGTAAAGATGTTCGGTTACTAGTTCTAACCGGTTATGCCAATTTAAATTAAGCTTTCACCCAAAAAAAGCAACTTCGAAGCCTTAGTACAAATGATACGAAAAAATAGCTAATAAACACAAGAAAAAAAAATAATAATAATAATAAAATAATAATAATGATAAAAAAAAAAATAACTAGGGTTATCACCCCTCACAATGTACAGTATTGGTATTAAATTGGATTTAAACGCTTTGGATTTTAAATCAATATGCGCTAAATGTGATCAAAATTAATTTTAGGTTAGTTCAAAATTCTTTAACTATCAGAGTGGATTCAGCTTATGTTGATTCTAAATCTACCAAGATTCATTCCTGAAATACAATACTAATTTCCTGTACAGGAAGTTTATATAGTGTTTTCGCAAAATAGTGCGCAGGGGTGTACTTTCAAATTTTGGTCCGAATAAACTTAATTCGGCCATTATTCTAAGTAACGCTCATGAACGTTATTGCGCAAAAAATATTATATTTAACAAAGTGATTTAAAAATACATTATTGAAAATTCGAAGCCTTACCACATTGCTGTGTTGTACACAAAGTTCAAAACTTATTACACTAGCTTTTCGAGTGCTTTCGGAGTAATCAATGCTGCGGCTATGGTTGACGTTATAGTTAAGGTTATAAACTTACATCAATTATAAAATTTTTAGAAGTTAACTTTTCAAAAATTCATTATTACGTAAACAATTATGCAAAAATACAAAATTTATAATTATAATAATGCTAACTGTGTAATCTTCCTGCAGTAATTGAATTATTAGATAATTATAAACTACATAAACAATGCATATGCACCATGCAGCACTGTACAGGATTCTTTAAGTAAATTGTTTAAGTATAGCAAAGCACAGATATGTTATGCCTTTACTCATTATTTGCATTTATTTGAGGGTCTTCAAACTTTTCAGGTTGAACTGATATCCTGAAAGACGATATATATATAACATTATAGCAACTATTGAGTTATCTAACGTCTTCGACTTTTTGATCTTAATAGGTTTGCAGAAATTAATTATTAGGTTATATAGAATGCACATGCTAAATAGTAAATCTGCAAAACAATTAATGAACAGTTTGCATTTTTATTGTTCGACTTTCAAGGTAACTTCGAATAACAAGTCATGTCTATTTTTGTGATTAAAATAATTATGTTAATTGCGTTCACATTTTGATTACTGGATTAGAGTTCATACAGCATCAGAAGTAGCATTAGAAGTAGCATTAGAAGATTAGCTCATATATTTTATGAAGGAAGCTTATTCAAAATAAAAGATCTCGGAGAATTATACTATTAGTTAATTATTATTAAAGTTTTGTGCATTTCTAGAATTCCGAAGGTTATATATTTATTTAAATACAATATAAAAATCATGGCAATTCAGTTTTGTATAAGTTTCATTTTTCGGACAAAAACAAAACATTCAATTAATTTCTTGATAATGATTGGTCTTCTATAATGAATAAAGATGCACATATATGCATGTGTAAATTGTAACAAAAATTTTATAAATTTCTTACCTTTATTTGTATATGTGCACATTTGTGCATTTATATTGATGGTACAAGCAATTTCGATGATTTCCATTTTAGATTTGTAACGTGATCATCAAGTTATCTTTAAGATTCGAACAAAATTAATTAATTCTGATAAAACTTTCTCTGTCTACAAAAATTATAGCGTAGTATTCGCTCGCTTGCTGCGCATATCATTCCTTATTTTTCTTTCCATATATTAAAAAGCCATGAAGTCACCTATGCGAATAAGAATCAATTTGTTCTTCAAACTAAAAATTTCTTTATTATATATATTTTTATTTTTGGCCATTTTTTTGTCGATTCAAACTAATGCGCAGCAATTAAATCCAGCACCGGGTCCTCGCGATGAGCCATGTCTTGTAGCTTATGAAGATAGAGTATATGTATTTGGTGGGACTGGAAATGATGCAAAGAACAGTTGGTTTAGTTATGTAAAAGCACCATTTAATACTCAAAGCTTGAATTGGGTCGCAATGCCTACGACTGGTTCACATAATGCGAGCGAAAGACCTGCTTGTGGTGTGACTTCCGCTGGTGTATTAATAGTGACAGGTGGTGGATCAACTTCTGATCCAAATTATAGTGGTATACAGGCTTTTGATCTAAGTAAAGGAGCGAGTGGTACATGGTATGTGTGTTTGCTAAAGTTAAATGTTGCTGTATCTTGAGGATATTATACTAATTATTTCTCTATTGCTTAAAGGTATACACCACAAACTACAGGTCTTGACACTGTTAAATACCTACAATATCGCAATAGTCATAGACTCGTTATATTTACCACTTCTGCTGGCGAAGAAGTGCTGTTCCAATTTGGTGGTTCACCATCAAACGATACATATATACTTCATATTTCCAATATGACATGGGAAACGATACCAATAGACTCGACAACTCCACCGCCAAATGGATTATTCGGTATAGCATATTCTAAGGATAATGTGTATATAGTTGGAGGAAGTTCGGATTTTAATACCGGTGTGTTCGCCGATGTATGGGGTTTCAATGTTCCTACACGTAAATGGTTTGATCCGAAAGCAACAATGCCTAGCGCATGGTTTGATGGACATATAGGACATCTAAATGATACTTTTTATATGGTTTCCAGTGATACCACTGGTCCTAGCTCAGCAATGAGAGTTTGGGTAATTATTTCGAGATTATTATAAAATAAAACAAATACTGTAGTATATAATTATAACAGTAATTCATCGTTTTTTTCTTTTTAACAGACGCTATCAAACAACTCTTATTATACTTACACTTCCGGATCTATGGCCACAGTAGGCCATTCTTATTATGCTAGCGCGCAACTTCATGGCAGTGATGCTTTAGTTGTACGTATGTTTCGAATAAAATCGTTAATTTCAGTTGATTTTTATTTTATTAAAACCTTCTATTAATTGTTTTAGTGCTATGGTGGAAGCACAAAAAACAGTAGTGCGGCTGGTGATATAAATACCTATCTTGGAAATACCGCTGATTTTTTAGTCTTCAACATGACTCAAAAAGCATGGGTTACTAACTACAATTATTTGACAAATGCACCGATGGATCAATTTATTGGTGGTCCCTTGGCTCCTAATCAGAATGACCCATTCCTAAAACCCCTTACTTCATCTTCACAAGGAAATAGCACCAGGCCAAATGGTTCAGCAGGAAACAATAATTCTAATAATTCATCCAGCAATAATAATTCAGCCAGCAATAATAATTCTTCATCACCTCCTCTAATGTTATACATTATCATAGGAGGAGTCGTGATCCTTATAATAGCAGCTATTGTAGCTTTCTTCTTCTTTAGAAGATATCGTAAGAGACAAAATGAAAATTCCAATATTTACTCACTCGAAAAAGAAGATACTCTTGACCAGAACCCTAATTTAGATTATAAATCCAATATAAAAGCATATCATCCAGCTCAGTTTAATTTATCTCCTGAAAAAAATCAAGATTTGCCAAAATTTGGTTTTTATACAAATTCAAATTCATCAAATTCAACATTAACGACACTAAAAGGAACTCAGCATACTATACGTGTACATACAACTGCTAATTCTCGATTTAAGGATGAAATATTCAGTCGTCACAAACTTACTGCTATGGTTTATAATCAACCTGACGCTGCTTTCATAATGCCATCTGCTCCCACTGGAACCATCATTCTCCAACGTTATAGGCTTTGTGGAAATTCTGCTTATGGTGGAAATAATACAATACGTCAAGCTATAGATGTACAAACAGATGATCAAGTTGCTATTAAATTTTTCCAGAATTTTGAATCTTTTGAACGAGAAGTCGTCATGCTTAAATACTTACGCTCTCGTCATGTCGGAGAGTTGTTAGCATTATATGAACTTCCTTCAAAAGAGGATTGGCCTTATGTTATAATTTTAAATTATTATCCTCAAAGTATGGATAATTTGATTATAACCAAGTTATCCTCAATGGATGCTCTGTATATTAAACTGTTAGTTAAATCTATCACGCAAGCTATTCATTATCTTCATAATAATAATGTTGCTCATTTGGATATTAAACCCGGTAATTTTGTACATGAAAAGGCTGATAATACAGCATGGTAGGTTTCTTTTAACGAATGATTTCATAAACAATATAATATCTGATTCTTTTCTGCTATTAATTAAAAGGCGTCTTGTGGATTTTGAAGCGGCAAGATTTGTAGGAGAAGAGTATGTTGACGATTGTTCACCTATGTATTGTCCACGTAAGTATTTATTAATTTATTTATTCTTTTTCATATTTGTAAAATTCGGTTTAATAACCACGTTGGTAATTTATTAATTTGTTATAGCCGAAGTATTCAATGCAGCTTTTAATAAGCAGCCTATAATTGCTTCAACTTCAATGGATATATGGTCACTGGGTTGTATAATCTTTGAACTATATACAAAAACACCACTTTTCTACTCTGAAGAAGATGCCATTGATAAATTGACCAAAAGTTTTACTAAAGGAGAATTAGTAGATTTTCCAATAAATAAAATTCCTGATCAACAAGCTAGAAATATCTTGTTAAAAATGTTGGCAGTCAATCCATCTGAAAGAATCTCGTGCGAACAAATTCTTCGTTCTGCCTTTTTAAATTCAGGTTTGGACACTAGACAGGTAATAATAGTCTTGATATGATGAAAAAAAAACTTAATAGATATTGATATATATTTTCTATAATTTAATTATTTATCATTTATTATCGTTATATATATATACAGTTGAATACACTACACAATGATTCAACTGACCGTATTATTACCGCAGTAAACCAAAATACCAATACAATTCTCTCAGTACTCCAAGAAACAACTAACCTTATCCTCAGGCAAATTGATGTAGTAGTAAACAGTATAACTGACACAATGGATGCTGCAACACCACGTCTATATGTTTTATTACCAGGTCAAGATGCTAAATCTATATTTCGACCACATACTTGGGGAAAGAATACGTTTATCTTGCACCTTCTTTGTGAAGGTCTAGATCCAAATAATCAAGAAGCACATTTTACAAGACATAGGGGTTACGAAATTCATGATCCGAAACCATTATTAAGAAAGGCTGGTCCATATCTTTCTATAATGGCGACAGTTATCTCTACAGGGGTTGGTATTTTATTATTTTTATTATTATTATTTTGAACCAAAATTTTGAACACACCATTTTTTTTTTAATTTTTTAGCTTTGTCATGCTTTACATTTGAATACTTCACCTGATATCAGTGGCATGCTTTCTGGCGTTTCAACTCGACCTACTGAATATTTTAAGCAACTAACGAAAATGCTTGATTCGGAAATTACAAATCCAGCAGAAACAAGAGATATTGAAAGAACAAGAAAGGATCCTGTTGGTCGAATGAAAGTTGTTCAAGGTGCTGCATTACGAGAACTTGAGGCCTTTTTAGCAATGAATGATCAAGGAAAAGAGTGGGGTGGTCTCCAACGTGTTGTATTGGAAAATGGAAGATGGAGATGGGTATGCGAACATTGTCATAGTCGGTTAGAGACTTATGAAGATTCTTATTCTGTTGAAGATGATGATAGTAGTTTCGGAATGGCCATATGAAATTAATTAGAAAATATTTAAACTACCACATAGAAACATGAATTATTTTATCATTTGTTTCTCATAACTCAGCTGGGTCGAACTTCCTAATGAATTTCTTTTTCTTTTTTTTTATTATCCTGGCATTCACTATATCAAAATCACGGAAGATTAATGAATTATACCCTTGAATATGTGTACAAGTTGAAATTAATTAATGGTAACCTCTAATGTCCAGTGTTATGAGAACAAAAAAAAAAAAAATCAAGACTTCATTTTGTATATTAATAGTTTCATTAATTCCGTAAAATTCTTTTTTACATATAAACTATGACAAAATTGATGACGGCAGATTACATGTCCAATATATAATATTAGTTTATAGCCATAATATTGTAGTTACTTTTTTTAAATAATAGCATTTGTATATCTAAAATATTTAAAAAGACTTATTTGAAATATTTGAAATAAAAATTTACTTATTGTCTTTAGACAAATCGTTCATGGATTCACCCGGTGATTTATAAAGACTATAACATGGTTTATGAAATATTTATAAATAACTTAATTGAATTAATAAATGGCTCCTATAATAATAACATCACAAAGTTTGCCAAAGCATTTAAAAATACTTGCTAAATACTTAGTAAATGCTTATTGGTCTAAGGTATTGCCACGGGTTAAAGTTTAAACCCGTGACCTTGATGTGTTTTGGTAGTACTAAAAGCCTAAATGACCCGAACTACAAAAATATTGCGAGGCTCCTAGGTGACGGATTAAGGGTAGAGATACAGAGCAAACCCGATGGTTAGTTACTCCCATCATATTATAAACATTAGATAGAGAGTAATCATTGTAGTAAATATTTGGAACAACCATTGTGCTAAATATTCGGAACAATAATTGTGAGCAATTTTTGGTGGCTATCCTAATCAGGGACACGGAAATTGTGTGATTTAGTATGATTAAACTAAAACGCACTAAATCGCATAATTTTACATCATATTTATATTCTCCGATTAAGAAATTGCGTATTAATTTATTCTCAGATTAAAAAATTTGTTAGTTGAGCGCAGTATT